TTTATTCTTTCTGAATACAACTTTGCAATACACTTAATTTCCACAGTCGCGCTATAACAAACGCTATAATTCACAACGAATGTCTCACGTGCTCAACTCAACAATACTCTGTCCGCAGTTCAATTACACATTGTTCCCGTCGTTTCTTGGCCGGTCTTATATATACAAGACTACCCCATATCTAGTAATCTCCTGACACTTCATGAACGCTCTAGAAACGCGTGGAGTGTTACTAGCGTCACGTGACCTCCGCTGTCGTAACACTGCCCCTTCCTTAGTATTGTTCGTCCCGAACAATAGCCACTTACATTAAATCAATAAACAATTAACAATAACTTAATTAAATGTACAGAATTACAAACACAAAATTAAAATTCAACAAAGTCTCTTAATTTTACGGGACGTATCTTCTTCCGTATTGGCCTCCGTTTCGTTGGCTTCTGCTTCATGTGGGGTTCATCTGCTTCATCAGGAAATGTCCTATCATTGGTAACAGTCACATCAGTGTTAGTAACTTCATCAAGAGCTTCATTGTTTCCCTTCTCAAAACTGAGTAGAGTTTCTTCTTCGACAGTGGCTTTTTCAGGTGGCACGTCTTCAGCAGCGTCATTTGTTGTGTTGTTCACTTCATTCCAACTGAAATGTTCTGGACTGTGATAACGCCAAAGCCTGTTGGCATGCACCACTTTTGGCTTACCTCGCCGACCACATTTTATCCGGAAAGTCACGTCTGAGAGATGATTCACTATGTCATATGCGCCTTCCCATGGAGAAGACAACTTAGGAGACTTCCCTTTGGTCTTCCTGGGATTATACAACCACACCTTGTCTCCTGGTACAACGCTGACTTCAGTAGATCTCTTATCATAAGTTAACTTCATCGAATCAGCAGACGTTTTCAAGTTTCAATGCACTTGATGGTGAATATCATCCATCCTTTCCGATAACACTTTCACAAACTCTGACACATTCTCAGGCAACTCTTCATAAGGTGGGCGTCCTGTTAAC